AGCATAACGAGCTAACTCAGAGAATCTCATATAATATTGCATCACAGTCACATCATCTTGAGGTAATTGCTCGAACTACCTGCGCAGCTCCTCTTTATGAGATCTCGGCACATACTTCTCCAGCAAGAGAACGAAGAAATGCTATCAAGTGAGGGGCGCTGCACCAACAGGCCTACGTCGCTCATAAGCCTCCCACCAAGTAAAGGCAGCTCTAGAGAACTAAAAAGTAGTGAATGAGACTCCACTAGTCTCTAGAATACTCGTCGTACGAAGCATCCTCTAACACTTGTCCAAGAAACCTTAGGCATCCTCGCCCTCTGTACAACTTAAAGTTGGAGGCTGAAGTCTACCAAACCTCTCCAATCTGCGCTGCTCGTCATCCGGCATGACTAGTACAACATAATCCTCAACAGGTGCAACCGGCTGGGCTGGTGGTGCCTCCGGTGTATGCAGTCCCTGAACAACCTGCTCGGGTGTATGGGTGGAGGGAGTCTGAGTGCCTCCCCCAGCCTGAGAAGCAGCTGTTGTAGTAGAAACAGCGATCGCCTGAGCAAGACTGGTGCATACGGTCAATATCTGAGCTAAGGTCTCCTGAAGACCTGGAATAACAATAGGCACAACTGGCGCCTAAGTCGGTCCCGCTGGGGCATCTACACCCGGAACCTGATCCTAAACTGGGGCAGTTGGTGGATCTGCAGGTGCTGCCCTAGCTGTTGTGCGGGCCACACCCTTGAACCTATAACGGCCTCGACCGCGACCTCAGCCTCTCGCGGCCCCAACTAGTGGTACTGGTGGTCGTCCGTTCTGACTGGTCGCACATGTCCTCACCATCTATGAGAGAATATAATAACAAAAGTTTAGTTACCAGAATTAACATATTCGCACGACAAGAATTCAAGAACGTGAAGTTTTCCTAAAGGTTCTGCAGCCTCTCGAAGATAAGTACAGACGTCTCTGTACTGATCTGCAAGATTCTACTAAACCCGCTCATGACCCGTGAGACCTATATAACCTAGGCTCTAATACCAACTTTTCATGACCCCAAAACCAACCCGATCACGATGGCACCTATCATAGAACTAGGCCAGCCGACACATTCCCAAAATAATACGACAATTCATTAAAATTTAAATAATAACCTTTTTCATACTGAAAGTTCCATAAGAGAGATAAATTCAAAACCAAAATGCGAAAGTAAAAGCCCGATCTCAAGTGTGACTAAGTCATGAGAAAATACTACAACTGGTCCGAAATATAACAAGACTAAAATAGTCCAAAAATCAACTACTAATAACTATATGAGAGACAGGAGGGAGAAGAACAAGGCTGTTATCGCCATGCAGCTACCTTGTCAACTCCAAATATCCCCGGCGGATGAAGATCAACGCTCGCTAGCACGTTCAGCAACCCCTGGATGTGCACACAAGGTGCATGGAGTAATGCGAGTACGCCAACTCAGTATGTAATAAAGGTAAATAATGACTGAGCGGTAAAAAACACATAAACCACATCATGAAATCTCAGTAAGTACAACATGCTTCCCAATTTAGTATGTGAGTCAAATCATCTCGTTTTAAATCTAGTTTTCGAAAAAATCATTGAAGATATCTTTCAACAGTTTTCCACAGAGGCTCAATGCATTTAATAGTAAAAGTGCATGAAAATCATAAATATCCCCACGGACACAACATGAATCAATAATAGCCCCTCAGGCATATCTCAAATCACTCACTCAGCATACCCGCGCTCACTGGGGGTATGCAGACTCCAGAGAGGCTCCTACAACCCAAACGCTAGAACACGCACGGACAACTCACGTGCTGCACTGATAACTCATGTGCTATAGTATCAATATTAGAATCCGCACGGACAACTCACGTGCTATACAGACAACTCATATGCTACACACTCAATATCCTCACAATTACAGACTCTCGACCTTACTCAGTCATAAATATCTCAAGCCACTTTGGTTATTAGTAAAAAACAGGGTGCTCAAAACGGAATAATAAAGACTAAGTTATGAAATCAGTAAAACATAACATGACTGAGTACAAAATTTAAGTCAAAACAGCGAGGAAATAATAAGAAAAGTTCCCTAAGGGTCTAAACAGCTTGGCACGAGGCCTAAATATGGCATTCAGCCCAATCATAGAAATCATTTCTAAAACACAAAAGTATCATATAGTTTCCAGTCAAATACGCAACTTAATAGTTGCTACGGGGCGGACCAAGTCACAATCCCCAATGATGCACACCACACGCTCATCATCTAGCATGTGCGTCACCTAAAAATAGTGAAACGATGTGTAATCCGGGGCTTCATACCCTTAGAACAAGATTTACAATCATTATTTATCTCGAAACAGTCAAATCCCTACTCCGCGATGCCCTTGCCTCTGGAATCGTCCTCCAATTGCTCGAATCTAACCAAAAAGCAATACAATATGATCAATATAGGCCAAGGGATCAATTCCAAACGAAAAACTATCAATTTACACCAAAATCCCAAAATTCATCCAAACCCAGCACCTAGGCCCACGTCTCGGAATCTGACAAAAATCACAAAACTAGAAACTCCTTTCACTCACGAGTCTATACATACCAAAACCATCAAAATCCGGCGGCAAATGGCCTCTCAAATCCTCAAATTAAACTCTCCAATATCAAGCCCTAATCCCCTCAATTTCATCCCTAATTTTCAATAATTTCATGCTTACACTACTGAAATTTACCATAATCACAAGTATTAAACTCAAATAACCTACCTCAATGAGTATCCCCTCGATTCCCTTTTCAAATCCCTCCAAAAATCTCCAAAATCCGGATAGAAATGGTGAAGAACACCCAAAAATTTGCGAATGGCTCTTAAATACCTTCTGCCCAAGCATCTCGCACCTGCGGCCCATTTACACGCATATGCAGGACTGCTTCAGCGGTTAAATCAACCGCATCTGCGGTTTTCACTTATCAGCCCCTTTCCGCATATGCGGCCCAATACCCGCACCTGCGGTCTCGCATGTGCGTTCCTCCTTCCGCACCTGCGGTTCCTGGTTTCCTTGGTCTTGGCGGCTTCTGCGGTTGCTTTTCCGTTTCTGCGGGCCTCGCACCTGCGGTTCCCACTCCGCAGGTGCGGTTATGACAGCTGAAGGAATTCATCAGCATTTCCTCAAATCCCATCCTTGATCCGCCAACCTCCCAAAATCAACTAGAGGCCCTCGGGACCTCAAACAAACATGCCGACAAGTCACATATCACCATCCAAACTTATTCAAACCTTCGGAACACTCAAAACAACATCCAAAATACCAAATTACCCTCGAATTCAAGCCTAAGGATTTTCAAACTTTCGAATTTCGCAAACGATGTCGAAACCTACTCCTCTGAATGACCTGAAATTCTTTACACACGTCACAAATGACACAACGGACCTACTCCAATTTTCGAAATTCCATTCCGACCCCGATATCAAGATTCCCACTACCGACCGGAAAATGCCAAATTTCCTATTTTGCCAATTCAAGCCTAATTCTACCACGGACCTCCAAATTACATTCTGAACACGCTCCTAAGTCCAAAATCACCTAACGGAACTATCTGAACCCTCAGAATTCACATCTGATATCTTCTATACATAAGTCAACATCCTGTTGACTTTTCCAACTTAAGCTTCTAAATAAGAGACTAAGTGTCTCATTCCACTCCGAACCCGAACCAACTAACACGATATGATGAAACATAGCTGAACAACACATAAGGAAGCAAAAATGGGAAAAATAGAGGTATAACTCATGAAACGACCGGCCGGATCGTTACAAATATAGTATGTCAATATGCTGAAACTATATGAAAGTATCTTGACTTTTTTATTTATGTAGTGCAAAAAATTATACAGTGCTTCTTCATTTAACACAAGCATTTTAATGTAATGTGGGACATACCATCCTTCCATAAAAGTAGTATGGGCTAGCCAGTTTTTGACTAATAATAAAAATAGCTAGTATTTACAAAGTTATCCAAAAATAGCTATTATTTTTGGAAAGTTCCACCATAATATGCTAGATTGTGGAGTTCATGCGTAGTATATTATGTTGGAATCTCATATGTAAAACATATGAACTCCAGTATATTATGCTGGGATTTTTTCGAATTTCTAAGGATGTTTTTATTCAGATTTTATCTTTACATGAAAAAGTTGCTAAACTTTGATTATTTTTGAAATTTTGGTTATTTTTTAATTATCCGTTTTAAATCAGGCTATTTCTGATTTTCCCCTCATCTTCCACGTGTTTTCAGAAAATTGGGTCGCATTACAACCCATTTATAGTCTAATCCAGATTCCACCCGGCCCAATAAATGTCTGATAAGACGAGAAGAATATGGTTAAAATTGCACGGTCTAGCCAATTTTCGCACTGGTCATTCAAAAATAGCCAGCGTTTACCAATTTAATGAAAAATAGCCACTATTTTGCTGCAATAGAGACCGGTCCAGCATAATATACTAGAGTTCGGTGCACTTGTGTATGAACTTCCAGCAGTATAATATACTGGAGACTGGAGAACCGGTGCTCCAAACTCCAGTATATTATGCCGGATCGGTATATTATACTGAAACTCCAGTATATTAGATTGGAGTTCCAGTATATTTATACTGGAACTCCACTATATTTATACGGGAACTCCAGTATATTATGCTGGAGTATTTTTTCGGATTTTGAACACTATTTCCGTTCAAATTTATCTTCACATAAAAAGTGATTAAATTTCGATTACTTTTGAAACTGTGCCTATTTTTGAATGACCACTTGTAAATCTGACTATTTTTGAATTTCTCCAAGAACATGCTATGAACGCAGGGTACAGCACCCCACAAACTGTCATGAAATGTCCAAAACACCCCAAATATGGTAACAGGCTCGTCGGAGCCCGAAACCCGCACGGGTCAAAGTCCAAAAAAAGGAAAAAACATTGTCTGAAAAAGAAAAGAAAAAAATCCTAAGTTTTTACTCCTCTGTTTTTCACTTCATCATAATAATAAACGGGCTTAAACCCTTTTTCCTCATTTTCCTTCTTTCTTCGAGCTCACAATCACATATCACTGTAAGTCTTCAATTTTTAAACTTTTGTTTTCATATATTCTCCGAATCACCAATCACAGTAATTTGGATCTGAACTCTGATTCATTCTAAATATTTCGTTGTTTTGTGCAATATGTTGTGTGAATGACCGTAAAATTTTAATCTTTAGGATTCATTGTTTCTATGTATTATATTGTGGGAATGACCGTAAAAGGTTTCATCTTTAGGCATGGCGAATCCAGGATTTATATTTTATGAGTTCAGATTCGAGGTTCAAGGACGGTGACGTTATGTTATCATTACATAATAAACAATTTCATTAGCTGTAAAAAAACATTTACAGCAAAACATTATAAATGCATATAACCATTAGATAGTAACTTACTAGTAATTGTTTTACATTTATTTGAGAGGTCGCGGAGGCGGAGTCTGGATTTGAATGTTTTGAGTTTTGAACTTGTTACCGAACCCATAAACTCCTTTTAGTTATTGGGTTCGCAATTAATAATTTCCTGATACAAATACAGAGTCTAAGGAAAAACTACTGGGTTTGCCCGAACCCATAAGTAATAGTCTAGCTCCGTCTATGAGTGGTCGATAGTAATGGAAGCAATTCCCACGAGCTGAGAACAAAAGGATGTACTTGTCCCCTTATCCAGCCATTACCGCTCATCCACCACTTTTTATGTTGAAATCCTGTCTTTGTCTTTCCAGGTTGTAGGAAGGTTGTCTGATAGTGTTTTGTCTTAGGATGTTAGTGGCTCTTGTTGTGTCCATATTATTCCATTGTGTCTGTAGTACTATGCCATTGTTATTGCTTAGTGTTAATGCTTTTCTCTCTATTTTGGTTATTACGTTGCTGGTGTTATTTTTTTGGATTCCTTTATTGTTACTGCACTCTGTCTCGTTCCATTTTCTTGTGTCGAGGGTCTATCGGAAACAGCCTCTCTACTCCTCCGGAGCAGGGGTAAGGTCTGCGTACACACTATCCTCCCCACAGACCCCACTTGTGCGTTTTGAGTCTTTTGACCGGGCTGTTGTTGTTGTAAGCTTGAAGGCAAAAAGAAAGTATAGTGCTAAGCTTTGTGAAGAAAAGGAAGAGAAGCAATATCATTTGAAGAAGCAGGGATAGTGATGTTTTACAGTAGGGGCAAACTAAATAAATAGAATGATGCAGCAGAGAATCGAACTTGGTATCTCCGCATGAAAAACCTATGCTTAAAGCCCGTTGGTGTTGAATCCATTGCACCTCTTGAGATATGGGCTCAAATTAGCCATATTGACCTTTTTTAGGCTGGGCCAAACTTTATGGGTTCAGTCGAACCCAGACCTCATATGGATCCGCCACTGTCTTTAGGATGTATTGTTTCTCTGTTTTATGTTGTATGATTGTCTATAAAGGTATCATCTGCAGGATGCATTGTTTCTGTGAATTGTATGTGCGAATGAATATGAAGTTTTCATCTTTATGATGTACTGTTTCTGTGTATTGTGTTGTGTAAGTCACTGTAAAGGTTTCATCTTTATGACGCATTTTAGTCTGTGCATATGTTGTGTATATACTGCAATGGTTGCCTAACTTTGATGTGGGATGCTAATATTTGCTGCTAAATCTATTTATTGAAGGAAGCAATTTAAAAGAATGGCTTATAGGCGCAACATAACAACACGAGCGAAGCTTCTTTATCAGCAACAAAGAGTTACCCCTGCATTTTCTTACTTTCATCATGATGATGATCGTAACAACCCTGAACCCGGTTTTGATAGTTCAAGAGTTCCCAGTTTTTCCCAATCCCGTTACATGGGAAGTGCAAGTGGGATTAACAGCTTCAGTGGCTCAAGAAACCCATTTCAAGACAGGAGATTTTGTGCTTCAGGCCTTATGATTCCGATGAGTTATGGGTCCTTATTGACCAGGAATATGTCAACTAATATTGGTGGTGAAGCGGATAAAATAGACTACATGACTGATGTTGCTGAAGTACTGGCTGATAAGGCTGTAGAGGCTGTAGTTTCTCAAGCTCCAGCTGTGAACGAGATGGCAATTGCCGCTGCAGATTGTTATTTGCCGGTTAAGGCATTGATGTATTTGATGGATTACATTCATATGTTTANAGAGTGATAACTAGATATAAACAACTCAATGCTCTCCCGAGTTGGGGCTGGAAGAGTTCAATGAACTCTTTGTTATTCCTAAAGTCTTTTATTAAAAATACATACATCTTTTTAACTTATTCATAGAGTCTTAAAATATAGAATTTTAAGTTGAGATTATGATTGCAGTTGAAGCATCTCACATGTATTCGATTTGGCTTGCAGAGTTTGTTCTTTTAATGCCCACAGATATTTAGCGGGACTCCATAACTGCAGATTTATTTCATTGAAAATACTTGAACTTGCTTGGGATTTAATATTAGTAGTGGCAGACTGGTAGTAGTAGCTCTTGATTGAGAGATATGTTTGGAAGTTTGAGATTTGACATTTTAGCTGAAATACTTTGGAATCTTAGGTCCTTAAAAGTTACTCTCTCTCTCTCTCTCTCTCTCTCTCGTAAAATCTAGTCGTTTTGCTATGTCTAGTTACTAAATGACAACTCTTAGGGCCTTGACTTCATCTTGAAATTTTTGATGTTGTTCAGGTGGGCATCCATAGTTGCTACAAGTATTATTATTCGGTTGTTAACTCTTCCAGTTATGATTAATCAGCTGAAGTCTACTTCACAACTAACGGTAAGCTTCTGTAGTGCATCTTAACCTTGCTACATGTCCCAGTCTGTTTATTTTAATAACATCTTAAGGCAGTTGGTGAAATAACTGTACTAGACTACATATGATCTTACCCTCATCATAAAAAAAATGATCTTACCCTTTCCTTAAAAGAAAAAAAGACTCCATAGGATCTCATGTCGACATAGGACCTCCTTTTTATGCACAAAAGTTAATGAAGGAAAGTGAGAAGAAATTCAAGTTCAAGTATGTCAACGTATGAGTTACAAATATGGCTGAGCAACAAAAGTGTGTCCAACTGTTTTCCTGCTTATCTTTATTGGGCTAAAGGAACTTATAAAATCCTAACCTCACGCCAATTTCATTTGTTAGCTAGCGTTATCTTGCAGCCTGTTTTCACTCTTCAGTAATTTCTTGGTCTCTTCCACTCCTAAATTTAGACCAGAAGCAGGTAAAATAAAGCACCCGGCTCATACATTGAAGTTTCTGCTAGAATGAACCCTGAGTGTCATGTATAATTGTAGCCTTGGATTGGAAATATCCTTTTTCACTTGTAACTTGAAAACCAAAAAAAAGTGGGAATAGTGTAGTAACATTAATTAGTTAATCATGTTAAAACCCATTTCTTTGTTCCGGAAGAAGTCCTTTGCAGTCATAGATCAGTGTAAAAACCTGTGACTTCAAGTATTAGCAGTTTATTTTGTCTCTGCGGATCTTTTAAATGACAACATCACAGTGTTTTTAGAAGCTAAAAGCACAACGAAACGACAAGGCCCATGGAGGCTGGAGATAAAAGCATGAAGTGGAATGCAGACTTCTCAATGAAGCGAACAATTTTTCGAAAATTTAAAGTACCATACACAATCAATTTAGTACTATAACAATCAAAATGCAATAACAATACAAACTAATTTTAGTATCCATTACACAATAAGATTGATCCTAATCCAAGTCCTCACACATGAGAATTGACTACTTATAACCCCTCGCTTTCTCCTGATACAAGTGAGAAGTGCAATGTACATGAATTTTTTGTTATGCCTACTTGCTCATTGCTCAAGCTTGACTTGAAATAGATTTTATCTTTTTAGAGCTTAATGATTTCATATAACAACATGCCCAAAGGTGTGGCCTAGTGGTTAATGAAGTGGGTTGAGAACCTTGAGGTCTCAGGTTCAAATCTCAGCTAAAGCAAAAAGTTAAAAACACTAGGTTATTTTTTTCCATCTATCCAAGCCTTGATGAACGGAGTTACCTGGTACCTGTTGCTGGTGGGAGGTGGTAGGTGTGCGCCAAGGTGGCCCGGACATCACGGTTATTAAAAATACGACACTCATGCTCAACATGATCACTTTTTACCTTTTAATTCATTCTTGTTCAAGTGACACGAAAGTATTTAATTTGAGGCCAACTGGTTCTGTTCAATGTCTGCGCGTTATACAAAATGGAAGTATGTCCTTTCAAAGACTAGGAAATTAGGCGAGGTATACTGCCTTTTAGGTTAGTAGACCTCAAAAGCTACATTTTTGTTTATCTTTATTCTGCGTTTTACACTTGTCTTCTTTAACAGTGCATGGCCTAAAAGAATGATGGCCTTATTTCCTTCTTTTGGATCTTAGTTTGTTCACTTCTTTACCTAATAAAGTGAAAAGGGAAATTAAAGATAAAATGATTTACGTGCATCGGCATTTCTAGTTTTCTATCCCTTTTTTAATAAGTCAACAAAGTTTATTACTTAATTAATACGCGCCAAGATTGTTGACATTCCTACTATGCTGGATGTGCTTGTTTTGGCTCACTTAGGTATTTTCTACTTCTAAATTTTGTTACCTTAAAGTAAATGGAATGTGGTGTCCAGCTTCTTGTTTAAACTGTTCGTTTTTTTTTTAACTTTATGATGGTGGTTTCCGAGCCTGCTTGCACGCACCTTGACTATTTTATCGGTTGTCCCTTACCTGTCACCAAAACAAGTATTGGGTAACTCTGCCTCTGAAGGCTTTGGCAATGAGAAGAAATCACCTAGTGTAGTTTTGTCTCCATTGGTATAGAACCTGAGATCTCATGGTTCTCCTCCCACATCATTGATAAAGCTATTATAAGTGCTAAGTGATAAAGCTACAGTAGCTTCGAGAATATCACGATGAAACCTTTTTGTGTAACAAACAAAAATTTCTCAGAAGATCATGGTCAGTACTTTGGCTCGTGTTGTGGGGTTTGAGAACTAGCTGAGAAGGATTTGCTACATGCTATAATCAAGTCCTGTGGTCTTAGCTCTTTGACACTTCATTTAACAGACGCCATCTAGTCTCTCCTTTTTTCTTTTAAATGTGTGCTTCTATGGTGTTTAGTCTTGTGCGCAGTGTAAGCTTGGTGGTTATAGTTGTGCTTTATTTGATTCTAAAATTACACCAAGCAATCATATCAGGTGAAGCAAAAATTTTAACGACCCATTTATTCTCAAAAAAATAAAAAAGTAGCTACTCATATCATTTGATTGGCTCAACATCTCATTGATTAGAGGCCACCGAGTTCACTCTGTGTTTTTAGGTACCCTGAAGTTAGGTACAGCTTCCGCTGGACACTTCTCCACGCTTAGTTGGCAGTTCAATGTTGGCGCCAAAGCACTAACACATGCACATTAGTGTCCATGGGTTCTGGAGAGAGCAACAATAGTATAGCCGACAAAGTGCTATATAGTGTTATGCATGTATATGTTGTTGATTCAGACTATGAAAATAGAAATATATGTCACTAAATCTGAATGAACTTGTAAAGGCTATATTTTGATATCTAAATCAAACATTTAAATTAGTCTTTTGAACTTGTTTGACATGACTCTTATTTATATATATTTTTAATTAAGTTTTTTCCATCCCTTTGTCCATATAATTGTTGTTTGTTTTTATAGTTATAGTTTTTTACTACATTATCTTTTATCTTTTTCTTCATCTGTGCCTATCTTTAAAAAACACTTGCTTTAAATCTGTTTTGTGCTTAAAGCCCCCAGATCTGGCGATCCTCAATACTTTTCGCCTTTGACTAACTGGTTTCATTGTAATTGAGTAAGTTCAGGCTAAATTTTCTGTGCCAATAATAAATTTCTTTTCAAACTTCAAGAAGTAGGAAAGGGATGTCCGAACATTTAGTGTACAGTGGATGCAGCATAGGTATCTGCTCCATTGTGATTTGTGATGCCATCAAGTGATTTTCTATAGAGATTCTTTGCTTTAAAGAGAAAACTTTAAACATGTATTATTCAAAGGAAGGTTTAGTACATCTTTATGGTTCCAGATGTTGCTCTTTATATTTTTCTTTCTTTCAAAAGTTATGCTTGATGGTTGATTCTTATTTCTTCATTCTTTGTTGACTTCTCTATTCATTTCATTTGCGGAGATTGTTAAAATCTGCTATGATATGTTTACCTTTACCAAAGCAAGCTTCTGTGAATTTCTGTGTAGTTGGTGAAAATGTTGAAAAACCAGCTTTACGTTTATTAGAATCCATTACCTTCTAATATTTGGTCTAGATTTATCATACACAGTACTAAAATAGAATATACATGAAAAGACCGGCAATTTTTCCTTCTTTAATCTCCTTGCTTCATCTTTGTTCCGATTTTCACTTCATTCACTGATTGTCCATTTCTTAACTTGCATGTCTTGTGCAGCTTCTGAGGCCAAAGATGGAAGAGATTAAAGAAGAGATGCAAAATAAGGTAGGTTGATACGAGTCTCCTCTCATTATCTTTCCTTTTTGATTGAGCTAGCTAATCACTTGAATGAATTCCGACCATGTCATGTACCTTCTGGTAATGACATCTGAAAACTATTATTCTTTGTGATGGTTATCAACAACAACTATAAACCCGGTATAATCTCACAAGTGGGATTTGGGGAGGGTAGTGTATAAGTAGACCTTACCCCCTGCCTTGAAGGTAGAGAGGCTGTTTCTTATAGACCCTTCGGTTCAAGGAATTGATGGTTATAAAATAAATAAAGAAATTATTCTACGTGATCCAGTTACTGAGTGTTCAATACTGCTTTAAACTTTGTTGATGGTTAAACATTTACATGTGTCTTAGACTCTAAAACCTGCCTATTATCATCTCTAAGTAATTGATCCATGCACATATAGGCCATACCCGCGTGTCTTCTTTACTGTCAAAGAATTTTTGCCTTAAATTATAAACAACTCATGTGTTTCCTTCCCTTTTGGAGGCAAGAATTATGTGGTTTATATTTGTACCTGCCAAAAGTTCTTCATTGGTTTATCTTTTTACTTCTTAACAGGGTATGGCGCCAGCAGCAGTTGCTGAAGGTCAACAAAGAATGAATGAATTAATGAAGGAGTAAGCAACTTTTCCTTGTTGACTCTAATGAACTACTATATGCGCTGTTTTGGACCAAAAATTCTTGAAAAACTTAACGCTTCTCATGTGAAAGCATTGGTGAATATAGCTACCAGGGGTAGGTTCCAGCGAGCCGGCCTTATCACCACCATTTTTAGAAAAGTTAACCAGCTTGTCATAATCCACCAGTTATTTCTTTTTCTTCTAGTGTTCTTTTATGTTTTTTCTTCTCTTGAGTCGATTTTAGAGCTACTTTGAGTTGCATGTCTACCCCATTGCTATTCCCTTACTTAAGTATTGAACTTTCCGTTACATGCATCTGGTTTCCTTCACAACCATAATTCTGAGATTTCTTCTTATTCTCAGATTATTCATCTGCGGTAGTTCAGGTGAACTTCAGAATAGTAGTTTTATTAAGTGTTGCATCTTGTGCCGGTATTATTAATTTGTAGATAATGCAAATTTCTTTCGAAAGGATCGAAATGATACCTCCAGTACTTTAAGCAACTGACAAAGCTGAATGGGCATTCTGATGAGACTTGTAAATATATATGTTGTAAATCAACCATGGTAATATGCACTCTTTGAAAGATACATATTCCAATTTTTTTTGAGCTTGGTCACCTTTACGTAAGTAAATATTTTCTGCCTTAGAGCAGTTCAATGATGTTATTGTTTCTCTTAGCTTCACTACTTTTCCAGTTGACTTTTTCCTAGTTTTGCTTCAGTTATTTATTGCTTTGCTACTCTAGCTCCTCTCCAACACTTTCTCAATGTTATCATTATGGTATTGGTACTTGCCGACAAATGATGATTAAACAGGTTCCTGTATCTAATTATCACTCAATCCAATTGCTTGTGGAAAAACTAAACTATCTAGCCTTCAGCTTTGCTGTATTTTTTTTGCTTGTTCAAGACATACATGGTCACATATTAGCAAAACATTACACTAATTATGTGTGGTTTGGACAAGAAGTCGATGGGGTGCTTTGATTATCCGATGTAGATTTAAAACATAAGTAGCTGCAGTCACATACTTCCAAAAAAATTCCTTTGATAATACTTTCGGTGAAATATTTGATATGGTGAATCCATCTCCAAAAAAAATAAAATAATTGATATGGTGAATGTGTTTATAAAATCAATGTCATTCTTGCAGACATGGAGTTTCAATGTTCACTCCCTTAAAGGGACTACTGATACAAGGCCCGATCTTTGTCAGCTTCTTTGTTGCTGTAAGATTATCCTGTTCTGCTATCTGTATTGTTTTTTCTCTCTATCACTCTCTGTCTCTTCCATTATTTGATCTTCATGCCATCTCTCGAAAATGCAGATTAGGAACATGGCGGACAATGTTCCTTCTCTCAAACATGGAGGAGCATTTTGGTTTACTGATCTAACTACTCCAGATAGTATGTATATCCTTCCAGTTTTGACGGCTTTGACATTCTGGATAACGGTGGAGGTAAAGTTATCTGTTATCTCAATCAGTTTCTTTTCATTTTTTTTATGTTCTTTTTTCTAATGGTCTAATGGATTATTATTCTGTATGACTGGTGATCGTGTGATGTTGTGTTGGAATCAAATGAGAGAAAATATCTAATACTGTTAAAGAAAGAAGACAGTAGGGAAAGTAGTCCTGAAAAGATCATGAAATTTTAAATTTTTTGCATCAGAGATCCATTGTTATCTTGGAGAATCATTAAAGATATTTGTTTAGATCGCACCAAGCGGCAAAGGGATCTGCCCAAAAAAGAAATAAAGGAATAAAGGAAGTAATGGAAAGGATAACAGAATCTGCGCCTGTAAATATGGTTTTCTTTTAGGCGCCTGTAAATATGATTTTCTTTTAGGCGCATGTAAATATGTCGTTATCAAGTAAATGTTGAAATTTTATATAGATCTGACGTCAGTTTTAGTTGATCTTGAGTTCATACTCTAGCCATCATTAACAGCTGTATCTGTCTTCCTTAACAGTTCTTTAGAGCATGTTATTCTGGTCAATTTTGTTGACTAGAGTTGTTCTTTCGCAGTGCAATGCTCAAGAAGGATTGGAGGGAAACCCTGCCGGTAGAACCATAAAAAATGTTTCACGGGCCTTCGCTGCGCTTACTATCCCATTCACTGCTGGTTTTCCTAAGGTGGGATATCCAACCAACTTGTGTATAATCATTCATAGTTTATTTGTCCTTTTTTCACATGAGGACTGATCTGCAAAATCTGTTTACCCCAGAAGTTTATGATGTGTATTTGTTGCCAACTTCCTTTTCTCTTTGTTTTTTTCCTATTCTTTTTCCTGGTAGTCTCTAATAGTAATTCTTTTTTTTTTTCCTTGGTTGAATTGGTGGGGACATGCATAGCCTTACTTCCCTTTGATGCATAAGTTTGTTTTATATATACCATTTGTATGAAAGATATGGTGGATGGTGGCATATATTGTTATTGATTAAAATATTGAGATGAGCAGTGTTCCTTTCTTTCTTTTCTTTTTGTTGGGAAAATGAAGGATACAAGCTTCGCCTTGAATTTTGATGTTCATATTTGCTGGCAATATAGATCTTTTGCTGAAGATGAATTGGCTGTTTCGTGAAGGAAATCAAGATGAATAATTAAATTTGGCTCCTCTTTAATTTCTTTAGTTTCTTTGATGGCCTGCCAGCTATATGTTTATCCATTTGCGGATTTGGAACATACCAAGTGTTTTTTTTCCCACTTTCTTTTATGCATTTTATCATTTTAAACATTCTATCTTTACATAAATATTAAATCTAACGTGGACTTTATGTTTGATAAATTGCTCGGGCATACTCAAGTACTCATGATTATGTAATTTCAGTTTTAGTCTTTGAGCATGCAATCGGCATGTCAAAAACAGTAAAACACCTTTTCCACATGCCTACAAGCATGTGGTAGAGGGAGGAGGGAGGGATATGTTCTAAAATTGCTGGAGCACGTTCGTCAAAGACATTGTCATTGTGATTGGCCATATGTGGGTGTTGCTACTAATGCCTCACTGGATGTTCTTGAGATTGTTAATAGGCATAGTTTTATCAAGAATGAATCATCCATCTTTTGCCACAAAAAGGTTGGGCATAATCAAGAATCATGTACTTTGTTTACATCTGTTACATGCAGTCATGCATGTTGTATTTCATGGATGTTGCTTTTCTTGTGCGCGTGTGTGTGCATGTCATATCTGCAGCATAATCCTTGTACATGCTGTTTCATGTATGGTATTTGTTTTATTATTCATAATGATTTGTTTTAAAAGCGGGACTATTAACGTTCATGACATTTGTATAATTGCAGGCAATATTCTGTTACTGGATAACTTCAAATCTCTTTTCACTCTCCTATGGTTTGGGTTAGTATGCTCCTTTCATTCATGGTGAAATATTCATCTGCTCATTGCAATCTTTGCTTTTCAAAAGTGAAATTTGGAATTTGCTATGGTGAAGTAAACGCAATCTCTCTATAACATGTCTCTCTTTTCATCGTGTGTCAGTGATAAAAAATCACGCGGTCAAAAAGAAACTAGGTGTTCCTATAATACCTTTCAGTCCTCCAAAAGAACAAAAACCGGGAGTCCCATTTTTCGAAGCACTTAAGAAATACGCGGCAGCACAACAGTACGTAGCAGCGAAGCAGCGCGCAGAAAACCAGCAGCCGGCTGTATCATCGCCTCCTTTGGAAGAATCAAGACCTACAAGTAAACGAGTACCATCATCGTCAGTCCTTAGTCAAAGGATCAGAAGTTTAGAGAAAGAAGTGAAAGAAAGAAAGAAGAACAAGAAGAGGTGATAGGAGGATATTGGTAAAACTTGATTGCTAGTTATAGGTTATCGCTAGTTCATATACGCAATTAAAAGCTGTATTTGTTGAAATAATCAGGGCAGAGAAGCTCAATGATTTTTGGCAATTTAGTGAGTTTACACCCTTGAGGGTCTTGGGGAGTAAGCAAGTTTTGTTTTCTTTCAAAGTATATCTCACAGAGACAACAGTAACCATAATATCTTTATTTCTCTGCATCAGCCATAATTGGAGAAAGAGAGCTTGTAATGTCGCTGTAATTGGCAAATATCTCTAATGCTATTTGCAATTGTGAGGCAAAATACTCTTATGCTAATCTGTTGAAACTAGTTGGAAATGTTCCAAGTTTGTGATTATATTTCTTGTTGAGGCAAGTGTTGATTCAGTAATGAACAGCGAGGATCGTTGTACTTCAACAATTAATGCATTATATAGAGTTCTGTTTCAGCTGAGAAATGATATTGGGCTCAATATTTTTGGTAGAAAATGTGTAGGTACAGTGTTGGAATCCTGTTCTAAAATGCAATCAATAACAAAATTAATCGTGTTTGGCATGCACAGTATCTTCAGACTCTTGAAAGAAGTAAAATTTTACTTGCACTAACTTTTATTTATCTTTAAACAAATGTAACAGCAGCAGCAATGTGTGAAATCTGTATTCATTTGTTTTAAAAATTGTTGGGCAGGCCTAGTGAATTCAAAATAGCTAGATTTACAAGTGGTAATTGAAAAATAGTCACAGTTTCAAATGTAATTGAAATTTAGTCATTTTTTCATGTAAAGATAAATTTGAACAAAAATATTGTTTAAAATCTAGAAAATATTCTAGTATGAAAATTCACATGTAAAAAATTCGAATTTCCAGCATAACATATTGGACTTTCATAATGTGCTGGAGTTCCAGCATAATGTGACGGAGTTTCAACATAATATGGTGAAAGTTCATACACAAGTGCTCCAATCTCCAGTATATTATGCTGGAACTTTTCGTGTTGTAGCAAAATAGTGGCTATTTTCAATGACTTTGCAAACGCTGGCTATTTTTCAATTACCAGTATGAAAACTGGCTAGCCTGTGCTACTCAATTCACAAGCTTGCTCATGATTTAATACTACTGCACTTCGAGAAGAAGGTATTCAATGAAATCTTGGCTTTGTTTTCTTTGTTTGAACGCAGAAGCAAGAGGCGATCGGACTAATGTGAAAAGAAGTTAAAAATGAATTAGCTGTTAATGTATTTTAACTTGTACGCAGATCTTAGCCCTACCTTGTGAAGGTAGAAAGGTTGTTTCCGATAGACCTTCAGCTCAAGGAACAGTGAAAATAAAGCAAGGAACAATAGCAACATTTATGGAAAAAAGTACTGTTAATGCCAAATAATAATAAGTGTACTTAATAGGAGTAATAGCTGGATTAATTTGGAAACATTGGACAACTTACATTATTTATCAACAGTTTCATCTCTTCTTGTTTTGGCATTTCACAATAGATTCCCCCGTTTGTTCCTACTTCTTCCAGTTTCTAACTTCTTAACTGCTGTTATGAGACCAGTTATAATATCACTTTGATGCAGCCACAGCAAATTAGATGTGCTCACTATTCTCATCATATCGCCACAGCAAAGAAATAACCTCTCCTACTTTTTCACCACCTAACAACAAATCAGCATTTAACATCTTCTTATAACAAAAGCTATAAGGCGAGTCGCATTGATACGAACAACCCCCACAAAGAGCGTTAATCGTCTCAAAGTATGTTGTAGCATCTGGAACACATCCAAATTCATCACTCATTGAAGATCTAACGCACCCTTTCCGTCATGCAAACCTGAGAGTGAAAGAATCAACATATTTAGCATCTTAGTAGTCAAGATTCCCTTCTCCTTTTCTCCAATCTGCATAACAAAATCCCACAAAGCATATACTTCAACAACAACAACAATCCAGTATAATCCCATAAGTGGGGTATGGGGAGGGTAGTGTGTACGCAGACCTTATCAAATCCAGTCCACTGATAAAGCAAATCCATCCCACGAATCAAACCCTTCAGCACACTAACAATAAACTCCTCATCCACTGATACAGAATAAAATAGAAAAGCTTGCGGGAGTTGTACATTGTGCTGCTTAGCTGAGACCTAACGGTTAATTAGTTGAGATTTAAGAGTTTTACAGATGTTTACTTAAGTCCCCCACCTTTTAAATTAGAAGTCCTTGTAATTACACATTGACCCCTTAATTTTTCTGTTTTGTACCAATCGAGTCCTGCCCAGAATTTTTAGGAGATGGCAGATATAGTAGAATTATCCAGCTGTAATCCTTAGGTCATTTGCATGGTTTTATGCTTTATATAAGCTGTAATTATCCTCTTTTGAGTTATGAATGAAAAGCCTCTTTACTTTTGCCCTAATTTATCTTGCATTCCCTTTTTCTTTCCCTTTTTCTCTTCTTTTTCCAATTTCATTACTGTTTCATTGCCCTACGTATCAGTGGTATTAGAGCAAATCTTGGCTCTGTGGACAACCATGGCTGATAACAACAGCAATGTTATGGAGGTGCTTAAGAAAATCTCACTTGATATGTCAAGCTTCACAGCTAGACAAGATCTGCTAGAGGCAAGTCAAGAGCAGAGTAACAAAAACTAGGAGGAAGCTTTAAGTGAGCTCAGGGAGGTGCTCAATTAAGTTATTCATGGAGGGATGAACGTGACAAATCTGTGTCTCAAGGGGGAGGTGAGCTCTATTCTCCAAACGATAAACCCTTTGATTTTGGTGATTTAGCTTCTCCTAGCTCCCATGGAGTTAATATATCAGCCCTACCTGCAAACCTTCCTGCTGCTATCTCAGTTTCTCCAAGTTCTCAAACCCAAATGACCACCAACTTAACAACCTCAGCTCCTCAAATTCCTATAAACCCTAGCCCTTCTCTGCACACTCAGAATCCCAGAACCGCCCAGCTTCAATCTTCTCCCTTCCCAGCTATGGGGTTATCGTCCTTCCAAAACCCCTTTCGTAGAACAGTCGTACCCTTAGCACCTCACTTCCCTAATCACCCGGGAAGTTATTATCCAACCCCACAACCTCAAGGCTCGTCACTAGTACCACCACCCCTATACCAGCAGACATATAACCAACCCAGTCAGTTTCCTTCTACCTATTATAATCCAAATGTACATACACCACCACCCTTATACCACCAGACCCCATATGTATCCACTCCCTATCCCTATTAGAATGTTCCCACCACCAGCTCATTCCACAACCCAAACACTCATAATGTAACACTGCCAAATATCCCTTTCACTAAGTACCACAAAGTTGAGTTTCCTAAGTTCAATGGAGAAGATCTTAGGACATGGTTGTACAAGGTAGAGCAATTTTTTCTGATGAAGATCTTACTATCCAGCAAAAAATGAAGTTAGTCTCTATGAATTTTGAGGGAGATGCTCTACAATGGCATTTAGGCTATATGAGGAGTAGAGGGCAAATGCCACTTCCTACATGGGATGAGTATTTGTGGGCTTTATGTGATAGTTTTGGAGCTGAATACTCTGACCCTATGACAGAGGTTATGAACACCAAGCACACTGGGAGTGTAAAAGATTACCAAAAGGCTTTCAATAGTGTCATGACTAGGATGAATCTGTTAGTTAAGCATGCTGTCAGTATATTACTCAATAACCTCAAACTTGAAATCAGTAATGCTGTGAGAATAGGCAATCCTACCAGCTTACCACAAGCATACTACCTGGCTGGACTGCATGAAGCAAGCTTTATTGCACAAAGCAAAGCAATTAAGGCAGCTTCTACAGTGCATCAACACTCTGCTGCAAGGATACCTCAAGGTCAAGGCTCTACTGGGTGGACAAAGGTTGCTACCCCAATCTACAGACCATCTGTTACTGCCAATTTAGATGGCTTCAGGAAAAGGAGACTTACCCCAGCTGAAATGGAGGAGAAAAGGGCCCAGGGCCTATGTTTTTTTTGTGATGACAAATTCACACCAGGGCATAAATGTAAGGCCAAAAGGCACATATACTCCATGGAGATAAATACTGAAGTACCAGAAGATGGTGAGGAACCAGGGGTGAAAGTGGAAGATACTGGGGAATCTCTTGAAGCAGAAAATCCTGTTAAGAATTGTGAGATATCTCAACAAGCTTTGAATGGCACCAAAGGCTACAGAACTCTCAGGATACAAAGCTTTTCTGAACAGAATCCTATTAATGTTCTTATTGATTGTGGCTCCACCCACAACTTCATCAATAAGAAGGCTGCCAAGAAAATATGGTGCACTATCAGTCAAATACACCCTCAGAATGCGTCTGTAGCTGATGGCAGGATCATTCAGTCTGTTAAGGGTAGTAAGAACTTCAAGTGGCTCATGCAAGGGATTCTTTTTCAAGATGACTTCCTAGTACTCCCTATAGGCAGCTGTGATATTGTGTTGGGAATTCAATGGTTGTGCAGGTTAGGTGACATTAAGGTCAACTTTGAGAAACTTTTTTTGCACTTCCTCTATCAAGGGAAGTCTGTCACCCTTCAGGGTATTTATCCTTCATTTAAGAATGTTGATGCCAAGGCCTTACACAACATCTCTGTTAACACTGCCCAAATATTCATGATTAAGGTCTGTTCTACAACCATGCCTCCAGTTGCAAACTCTCAGAAACCAGCATCCCTGTTCCCATCCAAAAATTACTCACTAATTACAACACCCTTTTTCAAGAACCCAAACACTTACCTCCTTCAAGAGGAGTGTTTGACTACAACATACCATTGATTGAAGGCAGTGGCAAAAAATGTGATAGAAGACATGGTTAAGGAGATGATGGCACAAGGGATCATCCAGTATAGCTCTAGCTCCTAGGCCTCACCTGTGGTCCTAGTTGGGAAAAAATATGGTTCATGGAGGCTATGTGTGGATTATAGAGCTTGAAACAAGGTCACCATTAAGGATAAATTTCCCATACCTATCATTGATGAGTTATTGGATGAGCTTGAAGGGTCAGAAATTTATTCAAAGATAGATCTCAGAGCAGGCTATCACCAAATTCGAATGGTCCCTTCTGATGTGCACAAAACAACCTTTAAAACACATTCAGGACACTATGAATACTTGGTCATGCCCTTTGGTTTAACCAATGCCCCTTCTAGTTTTCAAGGGCTCATGAACCATATTTTTCAAGCATATATGAGAAAGTTTATCTTAGTGTTCTTTGATGATATTCTAGTGTTCAGCAAGTCATTAGATGAACATGAACAACACCTCAGACTCACCTTTGACTTGTTGGTGCAACACCAGTTGTTTGCTAAGGGAAGTAAGTGTGTGTTTGTGGCTACTAGGATTGAATACTTGGGACAT